TGTTATGGACTCGAGAGTCGAGGACACCAGTATCCGTAGGAGTGAACGGGTGCGGCGTGCACCGGGGTGGCAGCGAGACTTCGAGATGGATTAGTTTATTTTATTTAATTATTCATTTACATCTTTTATTCATTAATGTATTTAGGTTTTTGTTAGGTGAGCGAATTATAAGCTCCTTCAAGGGTTTCTTTACGGTTCTTTATCTCGTCGCTTTTTTGAACCGTCAGGATAGATAACGTAGATTAAACTAGGGTTTACTAGGGTTGGGACGCCTCCTCATTATAAAAGGAGAGGGACCAATATTACTTTAAGGAAGGAATAAAAATACAAAACCCTAAACCCTCTCGTCTCTTGCTCGGCTTCCGGCCGCGGCGTTCTTCTCTCTTCCCGTATCCCCCGTTCTCAAGCTCGGAGGCGCTTTAAGCCTCCCTTATCTGATACGTTTCGTATCAATCTTTTAATACAATACTCTTGTTTCAAATTTTCAATGCTTATTTGATAAAATAAAAATATTTTTGTGATATCTTATTTTGTAGAACTTTTGATTTAATTTCTAAATATGTTTGCTTGGGAAACAACTCAACTGAGGTTATAATTTTAACATATTCCCTTACGTGTAGGTTTGACCACTTTGACTCTTGCACGTAAAACTTATTTTTTAGAAAAACAGGGATGCACTGAGTCTCAAACCTGCAATTTCTTTGTCAATAATGTGTCGATATCATGACCTAAAAAAATTGAGTAAATTCCCAAAATAGTCCTTTATAATAAGGGATTTTCCCAAATTAGTCTTCAATAAGTTTTAATTACCTACGTGGTCCTCTATAATTGAGATTTATTCCCAAAATAGTCCTTTGTAATAAGGTGTTTTCCCAAATCAGTCATCAATAAATTTTAATTACCTAGGTGGTCCTCTATAATTGAGATTTATTCTCAAGATAATCCTTCATAAATAATTTTACTCAAATGAAGATTAATTGAAAGTATTTTTTCTCTGCTAAATTTAGAATTAATTTTTAAAATAATCATTTATAATGGAGTGCTTTCCCAAAACGGTTTTTCTAACTAAAGATGTGTATTTTACTTGAAATTTAAAACATTTTTTTAAGTTTTAAATAATTCATAAATTATTTATGAGTAAATTCTCAAAATGGTCCTTTGTAATAAGGTGTTTTCCCAAATCAATCCTCAAATGAGAATTAATTGGGAGATATTTTGGTATTTTGATAATCCAAATTTAAAGTATATTTTCGAAACAATCATTTTTGTACAACTAAATGTAAAATTTAAACAATACATTGACTATAAATAATTTATGATTTATTTTAAACTTAAAAAATCTTTTAAATTTGAAATCAAATACACATTTTTAATTAGAAAAACCATTTTGGGAAAGCACTTTATTATAAATGATTACTTTAATAATTAATTCTAAATTTAGCGAATAAAAAATACCCTCAATTAATCCTCATTTGAGTAATATTATTTACGAAAGACCATCTTGGGAATAAATTTCAATTATAGAGGACCACGTAGGTAATTAAAGCTTATTGAGGACTGGTTTGGGAAAATACCTTATTACAAAAGACTATTTTGGGAATAAATCCCAATTATAGAGGACTACGTAGGTAATTAAAACTTATTGAGAACTAATTTGGGAAAATCCCTTATTATAAAGGACTATTTTGGGAATTTACTCAAAAAAATTTTATATTCTAGAAATGTAAGTTTTTTTCATATTAATCTATAAATGAAATAAATTAAAAACACTTAAAATTTCATTGTATTTTGCATAAAAATCTAAACATTTTGGGACATAGAGACTGTTTTTGTGTGAGTTAGACCGGACCAAAAAAGCCTGGTACTACCATTTCGGCCAGCTCGTTTCAAATGCTCGCTGGGGCGGCCGGGTTTTAACTTAAAAAAGTTTCACCATATAACATTTTGACCGCTTCAAAGTCCGGCTTTACATTTTGCGTGAAGTTTAAGAAAATTAAGGCGGGAGAACTAAAAGTAAAATAAGAAAATTAGCAAAGGTGAAATAACAAATGCTTCCTCCGTCCAAAAAAAGAGTCAAACTTTAATATTAAGAAAAATACGGGAATCTTTGTTTATTTACTCATTTTTAATGATAACTTGATAAAATAAAATATTTTATCATTTTCTATTTTAAAGAACGTTTGACGTAGTTTTTAAATATATAAGTTTTATTTTTCGATTTTCATACCAATCTTTTAAAAAATGAAGTGAAAAATATTAATTTCATTAAATAAACAATCTTTTTTGGGATAGAGAAACTAAAAAAGACAATGCTAGTGCTTCAAAGTCCGGCTTTACATCTGATATTCACAACAATACTCTAAGAAATTTTTGATTTTACAATAATAGTCCGAAAGTACATTAGTTACATTATTATTCCCAAAATTGCTCTCTATTTATAAAAACACTCCACCCACCGCCTGACTTGCACAATGTAATTGTGTAATATCTAAATAGACCTGTTAAAGTTATAATTTGATAAAAAAATAATTTTTTTGGTTTTCATAAAAAAATAAATTAATTATTTCTCCTCCAACTCAAATATCAATCACGTCTATCACAATTAAGGCATGCCATTTTTTGATGGTTTCTAAAGTTGTACGGAGTATATTCGAAGAAATATATAGTAAGGAGTTCAAAAATATTGAAAAGAGTTGCGAAAAGTTAGAAGTTAACTTTCCAACAAAAAAATAAACTCTTGAAGTAGGAGATTAATATTTGAGTTGGAGGTAGAATAAGGAATTTCTTTTGTATAAATATGAAAAAAAGTAATTTATTTTTCAAGTAATCTGTTTAAAAATTAATGCAAATATTTTTCAATATGATTATGCAAGTGAGGTGGTGGGTGGAGTGTTTTGTGAAAATAGAGCAATTGTGGGAGTAATGGTGTTAATTAATTAATTTTCGGAGTATTATTATAAATCAGAAATTTTCCAGAGTATTGTTGTAAATATTTCCATTTTTTTCAATTTTTAACTCCGTTCTTCACACTCCAACTTAGTCTCCCAGTTCTAGATTTTAATTAAAAGTTAATACTATATTCAATCTTAGAATTTAATTTTCACTTTAAATTTCATCTTTTGTTCCCAGTAAAAGTGAAGGTAAAAGGAATTAATCCTAAGAGCAACTCCAATGGTGGGAGGTAGTTTCGAGAGGTATATATCCCATTTATCTCTCCAAGTGATCAAGTTTACATTTTCAAAAAGTGTGCAACTCCAAAGGGGAAGGCAAATCAAAAAGCAAAAGAGGGAAAAAAACCTATTTGCATACATTAATGAGAAAAAATTACTAGTTGATTTAACTTCTTAAATCAAATTTCAATTATTAGAAAAGAAAATATACCTTCGTTAAAAAGTCATGGGGAGGTAAATTTGAGGTTTGTTGCATTTGTTTCTTCTTGATTAATTTTTTTAATTTAAAGATTTTATAAAAATCCAACTAATTTATTGGGGAAAAAATCAGAATGTCAGTTGTCAAATAATTTAATACTCCCTCCGTCCTAAAATTTTCTTCCCATAGCACTATTCCAACTTCACACGGAAATTTATATTTATTTGTGTTTTTTCATGGCCTATATGATAAAATAAAATATTCTTGTCACCACTTGTTTTGTTGAACTTTTGATGTAGTTTATAAATATGTATATTTTATTTTTTATTTTTATACCAATATTTAAATAAAATAGATTGAAAAAACTTAAGATTTTTCTTCGTTTTGCGAACCGGGAAGAAAGTTTTAGGACGGAAGGAGTATATATTATGTCCAATTGCACATGTAAAGTTATAAATACCCGAGTGGAAAAAACTTAAAAATACTGAGTACAAAATTAAAAAAACAAAGTTTCCTCTTTTTTGTTAATTCTTGACTTGTTAAGTTTTTACCATTACAAAGATATAAATTAAAAATATATAATAATACATTCAAGCAAAAATACAAAAAAAAAATACAATAACTAAAGTAATTGACAAATATTTATAAGGTGGGAAAAGTTGATATACCTTCCCAAGTGAAGAATGTAAAGATACCTTTTCAAAATTGAAGAAGGTATAATGCCTCCTTATTTACCTCTCTCATTCGAGAATACTCCATAATTTTTAATAAAAAGAGGTATAATGGGTATATCACAATTACGGAGTATTATTCTTTAGCCTCTCATGTACGTCTTCCCTTAGAGTTGCTCTAATACTATGTTTGGTTTTATGAGTTTGGAAGGAAGAGAAACAAATCTCTCTTTTTTCTCACCAAACAAAAAAAAGGGTAAAACTATTTGTACCCCATATTTTGTACCCCACGTTGTACCCCATAGCAAAGTGTTGGTGTAAAACTAATTTTTGTTGATGCACCAACACTTTATGTCCGTGTAAATTTTTATTAACGCACTAACATTTGTGTCGGTGTAAACCATCAAACTGTTTGTGTATAACTGAGGTGTACAAATGGGATACAATTTGTGGTGTAAGTGTAGCATAACCCAAAAAAATTGTATTAAGATCAAAGAAGTACAATTAACTTATCAGAGATTTCGAGCCTGTTTGGGAATAACGTTAAAGATTAGCGTTAGCGTTTTGGATAAAATTTTAACGATGCAGATTATTTTGAAAACGCTAACGCTAAACGCTGCCCGTAGATAGCCTTTTCAAAACGCCAACGCTAATCGCTAACGCTATTCCCAAACAGGCTCTTCATCCCCTTCAATAGATATGTGGATTCAATATTTCATTTATGTAGTGTTCAAAATGGGCTCACATCCCAAATCGTAACCGTATAGTCCCGAAATGAAAAATAGTGTCAATTTGGTAACAATATCTCCTATTTAGTGGTAGCATTTTGAAAAGGTCCTTCTAACAATAATATTTAATTTTAACCCTTTTTCAAAGATAATCTATACCGCTAAAAATTTATTCAACACGTTAATTAAATATTTCCACCAAAACAAGTTTTAGATAACTTTGGGGAAATTTCACAAATGGTACCTGAACTTTAGCTGGAATTTCGAAGTAGTACCTGAACTTCAAATCCTTTCACAAAAATCCCTGAACTTACACAATCCTTTCACTAATGAGCCATTAGCCCGTTTCTAGGTTAACTTCCGGTCATTAGGGCCGAATTCAAATTTTTTATATTTTAAAATTTTCAATTTGACCCCATTTCTTCTTTTCTTTTCTTCCACGCCCCGCCGCCGCCGCCCGCCGGTCAAAGTCGCCGGAAAATGAACTTTTTCCGATTCCGGCGGGACCAATGTCATTCTCTTCGTCTTGAGACGAGGATCAATAATATCCAAACCATTTTGTCTAATTTGGCCTGTAACTTCTCGAATCTGAATTTTTCTACTCGAAAAAACCCTAAAATTCGAAATTGGATCCAAAATTGGGGGTTTTGCAAATTTTCATCAAATCTTGCAATTGAGGGGTCCTTGGAGGTCGCCCGGATGCCACGACCGCATTGGAGTTGGTGCCCGCCGTCAATTTCGCCGGAAAACGCTCCGACCCGCCGGAAATCGCCGGCGGGTCGGAGCGTTTTCCGGCCAACTCCTTGACATTGGTTACTAGATTACTGTGCAAAAACTAAGGCTAAAAGTTATTGTTACATACATCTTGGTTCCCATGACATTGATTCCCAATGTCATGGAATGATCCGGGAGTGCTCCAGTGCCCCATTCATAAAATTGACCGTTCCTACCCCCTAACCCCTCGGTAAACCCCCCACCCCCTCCAATTGCACCACACAAGTCGATTTTGACTTTGAAATCAAAATTTGACTCCAAAGTCAAAATTGATTTGTGGGGTGCAATTGGAGGGCGTGGGGGGTTGGTTCGGAGCGGGGCGGGGTGGGGGGTTTACCAGGATTAGGGGGTAGGAACCGTCAATTTTACAAACGGGGCGGAGCGCCCCCGGGTCACAAATTACATAATATTTTCAAAAAAAGCTAGGCCAAATGCTAGGCATAATGCAAAACACAGCCGTGGCACATACATACACATTCATATAGCACAACAATCTAGCATGATACAACTGCAAAAACCCATCTCTTACTTGAAGCGCACACATATATATTACGGAGTATATAAATACGAGTATATATATATATAAACAGATACATAGAAATACATATAGCACACCAATCTAGTGTGTTTTCTGCAGCCTCAAGACCCAATTCAACTATATCAGATATTAAGACATTTAAAGTTCTGAACTTGCTTGGTTTTCTCATTCTTCATCACTTCATCTTCATCTTCTTACCCCCTGCATATCATGAGTTTAAAAGGAGTGGTAGGTCCTCTGTACACAAGTTTTCTTCTTTCTTCCCATAATCTTGGAGCCTATGTCTGATCTCCCATTTCTCCTCCATTGATCACCCATGGATGCCCTGCATTTCATTTATTATCATCATCATTATTACTATTACCAGGGTAATTTCTCAATTGTATTCAATCCATTATTAAAATTGATATCAAATAGACTTTTCGATTCATGGAGAAAAAATAATCTTCCAAATCCAAGAATTCTCTCCTATTATTCATAACAGTTGGTTTTCAGGTTTGGAGAAGTTAATAAAGGCTAAAACTTTTTGACTTTTTTTTATGTCTCTCTAGAAAAAATTACCAAGAAAACCACAACTTGAACCGGACCAAGAAGGATTTTTAAATCTGGAGAATATAATAAGGATAGAAAACAAAGTAAGTGTAGAATCTAAGAAAGCTAAAATTCCAGAAAACTTGGAGATCACAAACAGGGAAAGATTGAAAATTTATTGAAAGAAGAAACTTACTCAGTACTTGATCTGCAGACAAGCGTCTAGAAGCATCCTTGCACATCATCTTTCTGAGAAGATCCTTAGCTTCCGGCGAGACTGACCGGAATATTCTGGGTGGGAATCTCAAATTTGCCCTTAGGACGGCCTGAAAAGTCTCCGTTGGAGTGTCCCCGTAGAAGGGCGGCGTTCCGGCGAGCATTATGTACAGAATGACTGCCGCGCTCCACACATCCACCTTCTCGTTGTAGTCCCTGCCCATCAAGACCTCCGGCGCCACATAGTACGGCGTCCCCACCACTCCCGTCATCTTCCGATCCTCGTACCCTGCAAACCACTCGGCAGATCCGAAATCCGCGAGCTTCAGATTCCCCTGAGAATCGAACAGCACGTTGTCCGGCTTCACGTCGCGGTGAGCGATCCCGGCGCGGTGGCAGTGTCCGATCGCCGTTACCAGCTGCCGGAAAATCCCGGCCGCCTCCGGCTTCGACAATTGCCCCCGGCCAACCAGCCTCTCGTACAGATCCCCTCCGGTACAGAGCTCCGTGACGATGTGGAGGTAGTTCTCGTCCTCGTAGGCGTCGATCAGCCGGAGAATGTTGGGATCTCCGGCGAGGAGGTGGAGGATCTTGGCCTCCTTCTCGAGGCACTCCCGGTCGGCGGCGTCGAGGAGGAGACTCTTCTGGATGGATTTGCAGGCGTAGGATTCGCCGGTGATCGGAGAAAAGCAACGGTAGACGACGCCGAATCTACCACGGCCGATTTCTTCGCACAACTGGTACTTGAGTTTGAAACTTTCGCACATGATTTGAGAAGATGGATCAAATTTTTCTATGAGGAAGAAATGTTAGGGTTTGATGATGTATTTATAGAGAGATTGGGAAGAAGGGACTCATCAGGTAAGGGTATAATTGGGAGAATATTCGCATGTAACGATTCTAGTTGATTCTTTTTGGGTATTTGACTATTTGTATACTACGTACTAAATTTGATTAGTATTTTTGTCCAAAGTGGAGTATATATCTTTCATAAAGATAATGTAACTTAATATTCCTCCTTACAAATTTAAATTTGTATTTGTTCAGTACTATTATGATATTTTAAATTTTAAGAAAATGTATGGAATATGAGAATGTCTAAACAAATTTTGATACATTTTCTGATTATTTGCTTCTATATCATTTTTCATGGTCTCAAATTATAAAAAAACATAAACAAATGTATCTTTCTAGTTTTAGTGTCACGCACACGACTTTTTATAGAAAGATATGGATAGGAACCTGATGCTCAATAAGAGCTCGAGTAGCGAAATCAATCAAACGTTAACTAATCAGTATTTGATGACTTTCTTGGTGTACGGAAGCGTACATACTACTTAAAACTTGAGGGACAATTCCAAATTTACATCTCAGATCTAAAAATCTTAATTAGAGTGGAGACTTAGAAATCTAGAATTAGTCCACACAAATTGAAAACATAATGTATGAAAAACGTGAGGTCAGTATTTTTTCTCCCTCCCAATAAGAGTTGTAAATAAATCGAATATTTTTTGTTCTATTCGTGATTCGTATTCGTTTAAGGTGATTCGTATTCGATTTTTTCAAAACCGAATACAAATACGAATAAATATTTGAATCCTTATCGAATACGAATATGAATCAAGGATATTCGATTTATGAGTATGACAAATGTATTCGGAATATAAATCTAATTATACAAACTATATATATATATATATATATATATATATATATATATATATATATAACTACATTTAAATTAAATTAGACTTGATCAGAATTTATTTAAATCAAATCAAATAAAGAGATTATGACTTCAAAGGGGCAGCCCTCCCATTTTCGACTTCAAATTGTACTGGGTAATTTTATGATGTGACGGGAAAATTGTACGGAGTAATTTTTACTCCGTATCTACAAACGGAAAAACCTAAAATTGTCCACACTTTACGTGTGAACATATTAAAAAACTTTATCCATGAGTATAATTATCCATATGCGTAAATACACATAGCGACATGCGCTAAACTTTAGTAAAGAAATGTTTCTTCTTTTCGGAAAATGCTTTAGAAAAAAAACATCCGACTGTTTGATGGTCTATTGTAGTCGGTAACTTTTTTCTTTTACCACATTTTTTGTACACTAATTAATAACTTAAAATGTACACTAATTAATAATTTTATTATAACGTAATTTTTGTTCATATATTTTTCACTTATAAAAGCATACAAAATTATTTTCTCCACTGAAGTTTAAGCTCGTGACCTCAGTAGAGAAATCGTCTATATATTAATGGATAATCATTCATCTAGCCTCTACCGAGATTCGAAATCATCAAGACCTTCAAGAGAGGCGTTTAAGTGTGAAGTCGTAACTAATTCAAGCGAGAAACCACTCCAAATTGTCAAATCTTCTCTTTGTCCTCAATTGATACATGCAATTTTCTTTTGGAGCGTCCCAAAATGGTTGCACTTATTTTATTTAAGTGAAATTTACCCAATAGAGCATCAAAACATAGTTGTTTTACATAAATGACACCACTACTAATTTTTCCTCTCTCTAACACTAATTTTCAGCGCCAATACCTAGCATACCCTTGCGTCTCCAAAGCCCACTAAAACTCATTCCTTTTAATTTTTACTTATTTTAGGAAAACAATTGATTAATTATCTCTAATTTTCAGGAATAAACTGTTTGTCCTCTTCCTTCCTGCGATAAAACTTTTTCCGTTCTGATCGTGCGCCACTCCTGCGCCTCAACCGCCAGTCTCTGGCAAAATTAATCTCGCCACATTCTCCCCCGCCGGATCGATTACCCATCTTATTATCATGTTTTCTTCGTTGCTGAATTCGGTATCCATGCCGACGCATCCAGCGCTATCCGTTTTTCGTGTATTGGTGTGCCTAGATGGTGAATGGACGAGGGATGGCTCATTTAGGTCTAAAAGTTTTCATGAACTCATCATCTCATTCGAGAGTTCCTTTCGAATGCTTATTGATGCTGTTCGTTCGCTACTTGGCCAAGTTAATGAGCATACTACTTTAAAGATTTCATACAAGTGCAATTCGTCCCCCCACCCGGTTTTGATTGATGATGACAAAAGCTTAGATTCATACCTCACCATGAAATTGCAGTATTTGGATTTGAATTCAATGCCTATGTGTATTGAGCTTTTTCACAATGACCATACGCATGTAGGTACGTGCTCTTCTTCTCCAAATGACCAATCGTTGTGTATGACTCCATCAAGTTTCAATTCATTATCTGACCAGAGCAATGACGTTGCACGCGTAGAACGTTCTGTGTCATCGTCACATCAGACCACTGATTACCTAATGGATTCCCCTTTGATTAACTGCCCTTCAAGTTTCCAAAGGGACAACAGTGGCTACACAATGGACATTGTAGCACGTGAACCAAATTTGGATAACGAGGACAATTCTACGGTTGAGTTGTATGCAAATGATATTCGCACCAACCTTGATTTCCAAGTTGTAACTCGCTTTGATCCAACTAAAATTGAGTTGGATGCGATTTATGAGAATAAGGGCGATTTAATATACCATCTCAAAATGTTGGCAATCTCTAACCTGTTCCAGTTCCATACTAAGAGGTCGACCAAGAAGCTTCTCCACGTCGTTTGTGTGGAAAACAGTTGCTGTTCTTGGGCTGTTAGGGCAGTTCGATTACCACGCACAGATATGTTCCAAATCCGTAGGTACGTCTTAGTCTTAAAGCATTCTACATGTCCATATTTCACACACCTTATACTACATTCTTTTGTTTTTCTTCTGTTTTCAGATGCATCTACGAAAATGATTNTCAACAATTATATCATTAAGTATATGTTGCAATACACGCTGCAATACACAACACTCTAATACAGACACTGTCTCTAAATTAACCTGGACACACTGTCACAAAATTATATGGACACACTGACTCAAAATTATATGGACACACTGTCTTTATCATTTAATGTGCTAATAAAATTTGAACTTAAACGCACTTACTGTCCACATTATAATCTCTATAACTTGTTATTACACTGTAATGCCCATATGTATGTTACTATAGGCTACTGTCCAAACTTTCTTCAATTCGAGTATGTCAAGCACACTGTCTACACCAGGTTAACACACACACTGTCCATATTCTCCATGGGGTCTGTAAATATCATGCACTTTTAAATGGACTACACACTGTCCTTCATTTCTCCAGTCTTGATATTCCTGCAAATGTTAATGCTATTTCTACTCAAAATATGTTTATCAAACACATCTCTTTCTTCTCACGTGTTTTTTAAAATTGGCTTCAATTACAATAATGATCCTAAAAAATTCAACTTACACTTAATGTTAAGCTGTCTTGTCTCAGGTATGATCATGAACATCAATGCCCAATCGATGCACGCCAGGGTAGAACACGTCAAGCTACGTATGATATCATTGCTGATTTAGTCAAATACAAGTACAGTGATGCTACCAACAAACCATACCCGCCTAAGGCCATTATGACAGACATGTGTAGGGATCACGGCATTTCCATGTCTTACAAGAAAGCATGGTCTGCTAAGAAGAGAGCAATGGAGCTTGCATTCGGTAGCGATGCAGAGTCGTACGCGATGTTGCCAGCCATGTGTTACATGCTCGACCGGGCAAATCCAGGTTCGTTGATACACATCACGAGGTCTACTGAAGGTGTTTTCCAGAATATGTTTATATCTCTCTCGGCTTGGAGGGTTGGTTGGGCTCACTGCCTGCCTGTTTTAGTTATCGATGGTACATTCTTGAAATCATATTATAAGGGAACCCTCTTAACTGCTGTTGCTCACGATGGCAACAAACAAATATTTCCTTTGGCATTTGGATTCTGTGATGCTGAGAATGACTCAAATTGGGATTGGTTTTTCGTAAAACTCAAGGAAGCCCTTAGTACACGACCAGTGCAATACATTTTATCTGACCGTCATGGTGGGATCATCAAGGCTGCTAAGGCACATTTCCCGCGTGTTCCTCATGGTCATTGTGTTCATCACATTTTGGTAAATATTAAATCTCAATTCAATGGTTCTGAGAAAGCACTGAGATGGAAATTTTTTGCTGCTGCACGTGCACCCACAAAGTCCTACTGTGAGCGGTACCTGAGCCTACTAGACGACGAGGATCCCAGGATTAGGCCATATTTATATTCCATCGGCATGGAGAAGTGGGCCAGATCATGCTTCAATGTGAACCGATATTCAATAATGACATCGAACAATGCGGAGTCCATGAACAGTGTTAACGCGACCCCCCGGGAATACCCCATTGCTCAGCTTGTTGATTTCATTGTTGGACGAATGCAAAAATGGTTTCACGATCGTAGGGAACTTGCTCAAGCAACATCTACTATTTTGACCAAACAATGTGAATCTGATCTCCTTGCTCTACATGTGGCATCTGCGGTTATGATGGTACATTTTCCTATTCATTTACATTTAATCACATCATTTCGCTATTCCGTACCATCATTTTCTTACTATTGTTTGCTTAGGTTCGGCCGTCATGCTCATACGAGTACTTGGTTGTTGATAAAAAAGGGAGGTCTTATGTTGTCAAGGTTAAATTTGTGACAGTGTATCCAGGTTAATTTAGAGACAGTGTCTGTATTAGAGTGTTGTGTATTGCAGCGTGTATTGCAACATATACTTAATGATATATTTGTTGAGAAAAAACATGCAACAAATCATTTTCGTAGATGCATCTGGAAACAGAAGAAAAACAAAAGAATGTAGTATAAGGTGTGTGAAATATGGACATGTAGAATAGCTATCATATGTATCACTGACCGCAAATTTATCAAATGGAATTGACCCTAGATTATGCGAAATATGTTTTCAAAAAGTTTGGAAACAAAAAAACACAGAGAATGTATGCAATACACTGCACTGATCTCTGGTCAAACTATCCATTTCATAACATACTGACCATTACCAAAAACACATAGGCAAACCAGCATGGATATAGCGCGTTTTAATGATCATGACAGAACACTATACTATACTGACCATTAAAATAACCACGCTTTTACTAACAAAATGAATATTCAATAACGACTACTCAACGGGTAAACATTTTCAATGCAACCTGACAAAACTTCAAGTCTTTCAAATTTAAAACAGGGACATGGAAAAGAAAAAAAACATTCTGTTTATAGCGGGTATCAAAAGATCCGCGTCTCCATGACGGGTCCAACCATGCATTCACTTAAAATAACACTGCTAGGCCCGGCATTTAGAGTCCTTGACAGGAAGCATACATTAATAGGTCCGCAGTAATTTTCTTCCGAAATGTGTTTACTTGTCCTGGCTCAATTTCAATCACCTCTCTCCCCATCATCAGAAGCTCTGCCATCTTTATCACAAAAATTCCGGAGCTTGGTCTGTAATAAAAAGAGTCAAATGCACTTATAAATTCAAATATGATTCAAATACTTTTCAACTAGACTTTGCTACTTAACAGACAGCAGTAACACCTCAATAAAAACCCATATCAGGATATAAAAGTTTTACCCGTTACTTTTCTGCGGACAGTGTACTCTCTCTCTTGAGGACAGTGTACTCTCTCTCTTACTGATGTCTGACGTGCCAGTGTACTCTCTCTCTTGTTCAGTTGGACATCCAAATTTGAAACCCGTAATCAAAGCAAAATCAGTTTTCTTAAAACTGATCACCCTATCACGGATGTGGAAAGATATTGCATCGCTATCTGGCTCCATAGGTTCAACGTAGTTCAACGCTAAAAGTATTAGGAGCTGTCCGTTAACCCATTTAAGATTGCCAACATCACGCAAATGACCGAAGGGCGTTTTGCCCAAAGCCTTGAACTCGGATTTTGACAATGTTCGCCGTAGCTTCTCGACCCCACTCAACACATTACAATAACAATTAGCTTTGACATTTGTCTTGGAAACCAAGATGTCTTCTCTGCACAACCTTCGGTATTCCTACAAAAAATACATAATCTCTCACGTCACAACACACTAAAAAAACAGACATAATCTTCTACGAACACACAAAACACAATTCACCAAAGTTCATGCATTTAGAGCACCTAGCACATCCTATAATACGCTGCACATACAAAAAACACTGCCCCTAATCCTCAAAACACTGCCCTGCTGAAAGCAACTTTTAAATTACTAAACACTGACAATATATTCAACACACTGCACTACTTTACTCAGGTCCTTAACCCCTATTGTTATTGCACACAACATGGAGATAGCATTTTACACTGACATAGAACAAACACTTTACGGACCAGAACAAAATAAATTCGTCTTCACACTACACTTGCCCTAAGAAACAATACACATACTTGGTAGTCTAGTGTGTTTTAACCACTGCAAAACACCACTGTCCTCTTAAACCAAGAACAATGCACTGTTTTTAAATTCTGTCACCAAATTACAAACTGACCATTACATACTAACCCTTACATAACACACTGAACAATTACAAAACACATTGACCAACTGACATGGACATTGCATAGTCCAGTGACCATTATGGAACACCATTAAGAAACAGTATACTCACCCTCAGGAAACACTTCACTAACTTTCTCCTGAATTTGGTTTCAATTTCCTCAAAAACACTCAATCAGGTTCTATCTTTAATAAGATGCACATTCAAAGAACAACACCCTCATAATCCCAAAATGCTCTACACTGTCTACTAAATATCATTCAAAAAACAACCTCAAAACATGCAACACACAACACTACTATAATACATTATTTTCCTTCTTAAACACTAACAAAAACTTCACCTTTATGAATAATGTCCAAAAAATGTCATAGACAGAATAATCTAACCTTCCCAGAACCGCATTTCACTGTAATTCCACTGCTCTCTTCGCCAATACTCTCGTTGTTGTCGTCAATAGCAACTCCAGTAGCCATCGTCGTCTTGCTCGCCGACATCACAATCGGCGACTCACTATCACTTCTCACTGTCTGCGTCGCCGCAACCTCACCCGGATTTTTGACTCTATTTCTCAAATCTCCCCCTCTGCGTTTACTGAATTTAGGGTTTAAAACCCCAATTGACATCCGCATCCTATTTTATCCCAAAAATCAAGGCAAATTACCTTGTACAAGAAGAAGACCTTCGAAGGAAAATGCCGTGATTTTAGGGATTGGAACGACTGGTGTGCGGTGTTGTTTAGATCTTCCTAAAAAAAACTAAAGGTCATTTTAGTCCATTCCATAGCCCTGCGCCATTAAAACAATTTACTTCCTAACACTAGTGCTATAAAAAGGAAGGGCCATTGTTTTAGTGTTATACAAGTAATTTCCCCTTTATTTAATTCGTCTAAAAATTTCTTTCTTCTTTTAACTCTTATGAAATTTAAGAGAAAAATAACTTTGCTTGGATTTTTCAAAGTCACATTTGAAGCATGAGATGTAAGTTTATAAAATGAGCACAAAAGTTCTATGTGTCAAACATAATCCGAATTTGATATATATAGATCAGAGCAAAATTAGAACAAACACGTATATTGTGCGGAACATATTTTTTGATTGGATTAAGCTATTTGTACAACAAAATTTGTACCCCAAAAATATACACCGACATTTTGTGCTAGTGTGATGATAATCTAATGATTACATTAACAAAAAATGTTAATGTAATTTTTTTATGTAAACTAATATTTTGTGTCAGTGTAAACTGTTAAAATTTTAATACAGTTTTTGAGGATACAATATAAAGTACATTTTTTGGTATAACCCTAGCATCGTTGTTATTTAATTTGTGTGACTTTATCGCGTTCAAATAATAGGGGGACAGATGTTTATTTGTCTTTTGGTTTGCTTTGCCTTTGTGGTCAATTTTACATGGGTTGGATGTTTGTCCATGTGTTTCTATTTTCTAAAAAAGACGGTTAAGTGGGCTTATGAGGTGTCACCACAAATATCCAACTCCGTACAACAAATGGGCCTACCGTTACCGATAGCCGTTATACTTACTACAGTACAACCCAAATTGTTTACTCCCTCTGTTTTTTAAAGGGTAATGCTAGGGATACACCAACATGGGGTACCCCAAATGTACACCAAGCCAACACAGACACCAAATGTCTGTGCAACACAGACACTTTGTGTCTGTGTGTGTCTGTGTTGGCTTGGTGTACACTTGGGGTACCCCATGTTGGTGTACCCCTAGCTTAATTCTTTTTTAAATTATCAAAATGGTACGGAGTATGAAATTTTCGATCAATAATATTTTTGTAAACTATGTTCACAAAAGACAATAAAAAATGCTATGCTATAAGTATATAATTAGTCAGACCTTTGCACACACACAAAAAAAGGAGTCAAATAGTTAGGCCTTGTTTGGAAAGAATGTTTTCAATTAGCGTTAGCATTTTGGATAAAATATTAACGGTGTAGATTAATTCGGAAAACACTAACGCTAAAAGCTACCGTAGATAGCCTTTTCAAAACGCTAACGCTAAATCTCTGACGCTGATGCCAAACGGACCTAAACAATGGAGGGGTATTAAACATATTTCAACGGTTCACTAAGGGTTCATTGTTTTTTTGGATTGAAGAAATAGAGTTTGATATTGAAAAAAATAAGAAAAACTTAGAAAAACTTAGAAGAATTTGAAAATAAAATTGTAAGAAGTTAGAAAAAATAAGAAAAAGTTGCAAAAAAAAACTAGAAAAGATTAGAAGAAACTAGAAGCAATTATATATACCAGCTTGTAGAGTTCCGAATTGGACTCCCAATGTACTGAACGGAAAAGTATATTTTCAAATAATGATTTTAGTAGATTATATATTACGAACCAAAGTTTGGTCAAAATGGACGAGACGAGTTTCCAAAAATAATTAAACCAAAAATACGGAACCAAACAATTTAACTTAAAATAATAGGTTAATAAATTAATCACACTCATTATCAAACAAAGGAAATAAAATAAGTGTAAGATACTTTTTGGGACATACAAAAAAGAAAGCGTTAGGAATTTTATGGAACAAAATGAGTATGATTAGTGCACAAGCAATGGTGTGGAATTGCCGGCCAACTCAACATCTCTTCTCCGGCCACTTGCCTCGCGTGGTTGTGGAGTTCCTCAACACTGAGCAAGCGATGTATGTGCGAGGCAATGTGTTCCATTATTTTAATTTTTTTGCACAAAAAAAAAAGATTTTTTATAGACATAGAATTTGTTTTTCTTTTTTTAAACATAGGCATGTTAGTTAATTCTAAATGATTAAATTACGTGAAAAAAGTAGTAAATGACAAAAATCATGAATTGCTAATTATCGGACACAGTCTTTCGATCACTTGGAGTTGGCACTAGCTGATGGGGTTATTATTTTATTAGTTAAAATGTGTTGCGTTAAGATGTGACAATTTATTTGTTTATTTGTCATTATTATATGAGTGGTGAGTCCGTACTCCGTATTTTAACAAACAAAAAAAAAACTTAAAAAGATTTGAGTCAAATGAAGACCGGTCTTATCCACTCACCCATTCACATAATCTCCCCCTATACAAAAATGTGTACTATCATTTGATCATTTGCCATCCGCACCAACACTTTGTATATGATGATGTGTTTGTGGTTGTTTAGAAAATGCCTCTCATTTTGCCACTTCAAGACTTAGTCATGTCTATGTGGTGTCCCTACGAGCCGACACAACTACAACAAAAAAACATTGCCATGGTACGCAAGGGGATATTAGTCACATCCTCCATCTTTAAACAAATTAAACCCCTTCTCTTCTCTCTGCCCGAGCTACACGACGAAGAGCCGGTTCCTCCCTTCGAATGAATTTGAGTCTTCTGTATTTTTTTTTATTTGAAAATTTGATGTAACTTTTCTTTGCTTGGCACTTTGTAAAACTTATTCAAGTGTTAATGAAGTCTCCTTTTTCATACCGTATTGCCCAATACTTCTTGAATGCACCCGAGTGTCTCCACCCAGTATAACGCAACCAATCAATCTTCCTAAAAGATTGGTCTTCCGCCCAAGAAAACCTTCCGTTGTTCTTTTTCTTCTCACTCAAAACAATTTAATTTTTTTAAAAAAAAATAACTACGAGGATTGGTTTAAATTTAGGAAAGGATAACACTGGCTTCCAAAAAAATAAGAGCATCTCCAAAGGGGCTTGCTATATGTGGCTTGCTATTGCTTTTTTTTAGCAAATGAATAGTGATATAACAAGCTACTTTTTGCTTTCTTTTCCAACCATGACTTGTTATATTAAACTCTTTTTATCCCAAAATGTTTTACTTATTTTGATCAACGTGCAAAACCTCATGACTTCTAAAATGATTTTATTTACAAATTTGTAAAAATAAAAAATTATATTTAAAATTTACATAAAAACTCTAAAAAAATAAGAGCTAATAAGAATATTTTATTTTATCAACTGAACAATGAAAACACGCAAACAAATAAGAATTATCGAGATGCCATAATAGTAAATGGGTAATTTTTTTGGGGACAAGGGTGTAACTAACAAATATATTTTGTTCCAATAATCATTATAATACATAAAATATAAAAGTTCTCAAATTGTATTTATCCATGTAAATGTAAAACAAAAGTACTCCCTCCGTCCGGTAAAGAATTTCTCATCCTACGTTTTTCTCCCTCCGTAAAAGAACTTCTCATTATACGTTTTCATACCCAATCTTCTTAAAATACCTCTTCCTATAATAAAGGTATGTAATTAAAAAAATATAAAATAAAATGTTTCTAATTAAAATAAAATAAATCAAACAACTCTTCTTATGGTAAATCACATTCACATTGGGAAAATATGTTATACGGAGTATTTGTCCAGTATATCATTGCAAAAGAAATTCACATTAATTTTTGTTTAGCTATATTCTAGCATGCTAGTTATAAATAACAAGTTTTTTTCATTTTTTAACAAGCTAGCCAAATTTTGAATAACCCCTTGGTGCATGGAATTTTGAATATGCTTGTCAAATTATAACATATAGCAAGCCATTTTGCTATGGTTAGAGATGCTCTAACACAGTATATTTTTACTCTCATTTTTTCATTGAATTTTTTACGCTCTCTCCAATCTATAGTAACACTTTTATCGTTAATATATATATTTATATACTCCGTATTAATATACTCCGTAGTTTATAAAATTATAACATTACAAAACTACACCTGACATTAAACGGCCGATGACGACCCTTGGGGTTACGGGTTACGACCATTACCCGTGGAACGAGTATTTCGATTGTTATAGTTAATTATTTTCAATTTTTGACTTATACTTAAATAAGATATGACGAGGTTCTAGAGCCACTCAAAAAGAGTGGCCACAGAAGCCACTCACCCAATTGGGATACCTAGGGTACTCCGTTCGCAAAATGTATAATTCCTACCCCTTCTAACCCTCCGGTAAACTCCTCCTCCCGGTATCGATCTCAATCCATCTCCCTAACCACGTCAATTACGGGGTACAAGTTTAGTTGAGTTTGGAATAAAAAAAATTTTACTTTAAAATCAGTTATACTTACGGGATACAATTGATGTATGTGGGGGATGATTTGGGGTCAGAATTTGGCGGGAGAGGTTTACCATAGGAGTTAGGGGTTAGGAATATAATCATCAATTTTATGAACGGAGCTCCTTAGGGGCAGTGGCTTCCGTGGCCACTGAAATCAGTAGCCACCGAAACGGGCCGAATAAAATATACTCCCTTCGTCCTCGAAAGAGTTTCTCTTATTGACTTTTTGAGAAATTAAGGGAGAGATATTTTAGTATCGACTTTCCAAAAATACACTCGATGTAATGAGTAAAATTAAGATGTAATGAATAGATTATTAGTAAAAATATATGATGTGATAGGTAGGGTATGAAAAATTAAAAAGTAAAAATGATATTTTAAAAAATAAGATTAATAAAATTATTTTTGTATCAATATTTAATATCATCTCAGGTCAAAAAGCTTTTCTTGACTTTTTTTGACCAAATAGTAATACTATTTGATCATAAATTGTGAGAAAAGTATATGTTGAACTCGAATATAAATTCAATATGATTTGGTTCATATATGATATACTTTTGATATATCAACATTTTTATTTATTTAGATTATATTTAATTGATGGTCAAAGAGTGTCACTATTTAACTAAGAAAAGTCAAAACATTACGAGTTTTTAGGACCAAAGAGAACATCATTTTTATTTAATTTGATATTAATATTTATCGATTTTGATCAAAAAAATTAAAAATAAAACTAGTCTTTTGGACTCTTTAAACTAATCTTTTACCAATTCCCAACTTGTTCAAACTTTGATCTTGTCCTATAGTTCATATACCAAAAGTAATACCATTACCATGAAAATTATATTCGTTCATAAAATTCACCAATACCATCAAATTTAATAATACTTCGTATAATTACAAATTCCAATATTTCAATTGGAGGGAAAATTTTCAGTCTAACTAGCTCTCAATACGTTCTGATTTGATTATAAGTATATTTTAAAAAAAATTAATCTAATTTTACTTGATTTAATTCTAATAAGAATAAATAATAAACATAAATTGGAAGCATATACTCCGTAATAAATAGGAAGCTCTAATCAAAATGGGGAAAGGTGAAAAGAAAATAAGGTCAGACATCAATCGGCTAGTCTAGGCCAAAATGTTATCAAATTTGTACTAGACTGGGCAAAGACCCCAGAAACTTAAAATACCTGAACCTTAGATCAAGCCAAAGTTCATTCGTTTCGAGTTCAGAAATCGATCCAAAATATAAAACTTTTAGTTTGCTATATTTTCAATGTTCTAATCTTATTTTTTTTCCCCTTTTGTAATTCGAACCTAAGTTGGAACACCCTTAAGACAAGGGTGTTGCTTGGGGGTGATTTTTTTTCTTTTAATTTCAAGACTAAATATGTTCATGACATTTAAAAATCAAATTTCATTTTTATTAACCCAACAAATTGTTCTCACCAAATTGGGGATTGAGAAAACAGTACGAGTGATGTGGCTTTTTTCCCACCACTAGTTTTCTCCATTTTTTCTTCTCATTTTTTTTCTCATAATTTTTTTAGGTGCATGCTACATGAACCCTAAAATTTGTACCTCATTTGTAGACCAAAGGAATGTACTAACATTTTGATGGTTCACACTCACACAAAGTGTTAATGCATTAACAAAAATTTGCATTACTCTTATACTGGGTACAAAATGTTAGAGCATCATTGCATTGTATAAAATGGAATACAAATCTTTAGAGTACAAATAACATTATCCTTTTCTTATACTCCGTAGCATCTTATCATTTTACATCAATCTGAACAAAAAATATTTTCTTATTGTTTTCTTACTCATTCCACCCAACCAAAAAGATGACGGCTCCCAACGTCTCAAACGATAAAAGTAAGAAAAAATAAGGATTATAACATAAGACATTTAATAATGCAAGACTTGTTTTTTTTATATTCTTTAAATAGAACTTAATAAAATACAGCGACAGTTTTAATGATTAATAGATTATGATCAGTAGTTTCACATTAGAAAAAACAAACTCCGTATGATATTATATTAAAAAAATTCTTATATTTAAATGTTTTAGTCATATTTAAATAAATTCTCTTACTCCGTATTTTTATTTGGGGTGTTTTGTAAGAATTTAACTTAGCTATCACGGTGGAGGCACAATAAAACTAGGAGAGAGTAAAAAACAAAATAACAACTTAACACACATGTATGTGGGAGGGTCGTAGGAGCATTTATTAAGGCAAGGTGTACAGGGCTGGCTGGCTAACTTGAATGCTCTCTATTGTCCTCCGGTGAAAGCAAGGAACTGAAGCCCCTCGATCTTCCAACGCCGCCGGTCACCCCTCTATATATATGCTTCGTGCAAGGAGCTCCAATTAAATAAATGCAATGAAACCTGTTAAAGACAACCAACAAACTTTGCTACTGTAATACGGAGTAATTAATTAGTAGAATGAAACAAATGCTAAATGGTAAACAAAGCTGAGAAGAATTGCAGTAGCCAAAAACACGAGAGAAAGAATGATGGCGCTGGCCGGACCAGCTGGTTGTAAACGGCTTGAAAAACGAAGCCTACAAGAAGTAGCACGAAGTACAGCATTTCAAACTAATGCTCACATTAAAAAAAAAAAACGAAATAAATTGTCATACTATACTACTCGATCATAATTCAATATAAATCTGAAAATCCTTTCCCTGCTAGTTTATCCATTGTACAATAACTACACGCGTCTTAGAGACGGAAGAGCGGAGGTATGCTTTCGTCCCAAACTAGACGTGGAGCTGCGAGCGTACTCTTGTAAGCAATTAAAACGAAAGATGGATCATGAGATCCTTTGAGTGGCACTTTGATTTCTACAACGCTGTTCTCCTTCAAGTTGACAAGAAATAAATATGGATCCCATAATACTAGCAACTCATCCCTTCGCACGCTCTGGATCACGAAACGAGGGTCCTTCTTAGAGCCTTCCGGGATGGGGAGACTTATCGTAGAAGACAATGGGACCCAATACCAGTTTGCATAATCCTCCAAAACCCATATGTCTACTCGCCCCAACACCATGTCATTATGGGAGACACACAAATGGCCATCATGAGCAAACAGATACATGTCCAAATGATGAAGTTTCATAGGGGGGCATCCAAATTCTGGATGCGGCAAAGTGTTGAATTTTCCAGAATCCATCTCAAACGCGAGTATGGCGTGCATGCAATCATCTTTGTCCTTGTCGATAGGATACACAATCATATATAGAGCTCCGTTCACAGTAACTACTGGGTTTTTCATAGCATATGTCTTGTATAAGAGAGAGCTACAGGCGATTTCCACATCAGTGCGGGAATCCAAACTGTACACACAAAACTGACAACCCACATTAGTGTGCCAAAGTGCGCATATATAATTGTATTCATTTCTCGGCTCATTAAAGAATAAGCCACACACAACCTGGTTTGTGCTCGCTTTCATAGCTCCTAGTTGTCGAGTGAAGAGGTTGAAAGCAAAGTCGTGTCTCCCCCAGGACCAATGGTAGTACCCTGAAGCCTTATAATGAAGTAAGGGACCACAAGCACCGTATAAATGAATCGAATCAAGCTGTTTGGCGCGGCCCTCAAAGCAAAGATTGGACTTGAAAGAAATCTTTCTCAGTTTTTTGGCAAGTGCATCATAAACATAAAAATCTCCGCCTCTCTTTTCAAGGGAAGTAGAGGGTCTAGGTTTGACAAGAAGAATGACGGAGGGAGCTCTATGGTTTTGCAGCGTGATGAAATCAGTCGACGAAGTTAGAGACCTCCAGTGTCTGCACACTTTGCGACATTGCAGAATAGCGTCAGCAGGAAGTCTGCTCAAAATATTAATTAAGATATCATCTGGGAAGGGGCCAAATCCTTTGTTTAGGCAAAGAAGGAAGCGCAAAAGATGTGAAATCCATGCGAGGATGCACTGGATCAACATCACAGATGAATCCATTAGACTTCTCAATTTTTTCACCTATGCAAAAAAAAAAAGGAATTTATTTATTTGATTAGGTCAATAACAAGAATTAATTTATTAAAATAAAGCTAATTAATTATTTTTATATTAATTAATGAAGCACACTATTATTTTTTTCAATTTTTAAATTAAAATGGTTATATTTTATAAATATTTAATATTAAAAAAGTTATATGACTAATATAATAAATATTTAGTAGTACTTCTAATGTTAACTCCAATTTGTTTGCATTTTTCCTCCGTCCCAAAAAGTCTTTCATGTTTACTATTACGGCCTCTCGATAACTCCAATTTGTTTACATTTTTTCATTGATCATTTGATAAAATAAAATATTCTTGTCACCTCTTATTTTGTAGAATTTTCAATGTAGTTTTTAAATATAATTTTTTTATGTGTTATTTCCTTACTAATTTTAAAATAAAATCATTTTAAAATCCATGGAGTTTTGCACGTTAAACAAAGTAGGAAATTCTTTCTGGGACGGAGGGAGTATAGAAGAGGAAAGGAGAAGTCGAGTGGTTGGGCCTAAAAAGATGATGTGGAGGAGAGATGTGGGAGTAGTACTCCTTTTACTCCTCCATCTAATGTGGTTGCTCTAACAACCATAGTTTTAAAAACCGGACCGGGAACCGGTGAACCAGACCCTAAACCGATCCAGACCAGTCAATCAGACCGCTATTTGCCCAGTGTAAACCGGTTAAAAACCGAGAAAACCGGCCGGTTTTAAAGTCTGGAACCGGTTTTTTAATTTCAACGGAAGATTTTCCAAAAATCCAAGCCAAGGATTCGAACACGGCACCACACAGGAGAAGGACGCCGCTACAAACCACCTCTACTACAAGGCTACCAGTACATGTTAACATTCCACGATTCAATCTACATATTCTTTAATAAAATGTTTCTTATCAAATAGTTTATATAAATAAATAAATAAATAAATATATATATATATATATATATATATATATAAAATTTATTTTTTATAAATATATTTATCTATTTATTAAAAATGTTTGAACCACTAGTTCAACCAGTAAACCACTGAACCAGTGTCTTGACCGGTTCGATCACCGGTTCGGTTCTTAAAACTATGCTAACAACACACTTAGCTTCCTGCGTGGGTCTAGTCCTAGTTGTATACTCCTACCATTATTTATTGGGTTATGCTATACTTATACCACAAATTGTACCATATTTATATACTGTTATATACAAATATTTTGATGGTTTACACCGACATAAGTGTTGGTGCGTTAATAAAAATTTACACGGACATAAAATGTTTGTGCATTAACAAAAATTAGTTTTACACCAACATAAAGTGTTGGTGAAAAGCTACGGGATACAAAGTGTGGTACAAAATATGGGGTTCAAATATCTATACCCTTATTTATTTTGTTATTTTCATTTCTTCAAAATTAAAGAACTGTTGGTTGTCCTGGGGACTGTTGCAGGGGGGGTTTTGGGGGCTGTTTTG